ATACTCTGCATGATACCATAATGATGAATACACATCATTATGCATTTGTCCAAATCCACAGAATGTACAATACCATGAATGAACCCTAAAACAAACTGTGGACTTTGGTTGGTTATGATGTGACTGGGTGATTATGATGTGTATGTCAACGTATGTTCACCAGTGTTAGCAAAAGTACCACGCTGGTGAGTGATGGTGTTAATGGGGGAGGCTATGCATGTGTGGGTGGCAAGGGGTATATGGGAAATCTCTGTGCCTGCCTTTCAATTTTGCTGTGAACCTAAAACTGCTTTTAAAAAGTGAAGTCTAAAAAATTTTTAGAAATTCTGGTATGTATTTTTAAAAATTAAAAAATTTTTAAAAATCCTGGTACATATCTTTCCATGCATGTCTATACACATTCCTGGTGAATATATACCTAGGAGTAAAACTGCTGAGTCGCATGATATGCATATGTTCAGCTTTAGAAGACAACTGCCAACCAGATTTCCAAAGTTGCTGAACCAATTTATATTCCTAGTAGTAGTGTATGTGAGTTCTAGTTGCTCAATATCTTCACCAATACTTTTTACTGTCAGTTTTATTCCCCCAACATTAGACATTCTTGTGTAGAGATATCTCATTGTAGATTTAAATTTAGACTCTGATAAATAATGATGTAAAATACATTTTCATGTTTATTGGCTGTCTTCTTTTGTAAAGTGCCATTCAAGTACTTTGCCTGTATCTTAAATAAGGTTGTCTGTCTTTTCAACTTTTATAGATGTTCTTTATACATTTGGATATGACTCTTTTACAAGATATATATACATATTATATACATTGAAAATATCTTTTCCCATTCTGTGACTTGCTTTTCCACCCTTTTAGTGGTATACTTTGCTGAAAATAATTTGTTAATTTTAATGATGCCCAATTTACCAATTTTTTTCTTTTGTTATCAGTGATTTGAGTCCTATTTGAAAAAGGTTTTCATGACCCAAGTTACTGTAGATACTCTTGTATGTTATCTCCTAGAAGCTCCTAATCTACCTAGGATTTATTTGGTATATGGTATAAGGTAAGGTCAAGATTCATATTTTCCATATAGATATCCCATTGGTTCCAGAAATATTTGTTGAAAAAAACCATCCTTTTCTCACAGCAGTGGTACTGTTGTCATAATTTAGTTGGCCTGTATATGCGCATAGTTTCTGGACTCCTTCTATTCTGTTTCATTGGTTTATTTTCTGTTCTGGTGTAATACCACATTGTCTTAACTACAGCTTTATGATATGTTTGGAAATTCTCCAGCTTTGTTCTACATCAGGGGTTCTCAAACTCAGCACTACTGACATTTTGAGCCAGCTACTTCTTTGTTTGGGGGCTGTCCTGTACATTGACCTCTCTGTGGTTTCCTTATTTCTGAGACATTTGTCCCTCAAATCCTGATTGCCTTGGTTGCTCGCAGGTACCTTTAAATACTGTTTTGTTATGTTCTGTTATACTGTATTCAGCTTTTATAATTGTCCCTTACAGGAGAGTGGTCTGACACAAGCTTCTTCATATCTAGGAGCAGAAGTTCTGGAACAGATTATTAACCTTTTTGCCTAAGACTAAGCCTTGTATAACATGATTTCAAATGGCTTTAACTTTTCCCAAACACCACAAGAACATCTGTAAATTTTTAAAAAGATGAGATGATTTTTAAAAAGATCTAGATGATAAATAGAGATATTATAGGATCATTGAATCTTGACTTGTCCTATGCAATTGTCTAAAAGTTTATAAAACTGATATAATCTTAATAAGTATACTTATACATAATGAAACAACATATTAGTGTGTCCTCCTTAAGTACCTGCTGAGTTTTTCTTGTTTCCTTCTAACATAGGTGATGATGTACAAAAAGATATACACCCTTGCAGAGCTCTTATGCCATAAATTGCCTACATTTTGGATTTTCTCAAAAAAGGACTGCATCATGGTTTGCATAATGGATACAGTTTAGTGCCGAAGTTGATGACAGACAAAGCTTGTCATAAGATATATGTTGTTATACTTTTTTTTCTATGTTAGCAGCAGTACAGAAATCCAAGACTCAATTTATTTGCCAGAAATGGGTAAATTAATAGAATTACCAGTATTTTAATCCATATGTGAAATGGTGATTTTCCAGTCAAAATAGGCAAGTGATGAACAGAAAAATCATTTTCTTACATTTGGGAGAAAATCTATACTTATGGCAGACTTGCAACATGGGTGGTCTAATGGCATTACTTAGCAATGCCATCTTAATATAGGCCATCATCCTTTTCAGAAATGGAAAATATTGTTTATTGTATACGTACTAAAAGGTTTTACTATCCTTACCATAATGTTACCTTTGACTAGGCATTCACTATAACCTTTAAACTATAGTTACTGGCCTTTTATGTTTTGCACAGGGATGAAAAGAGACATGTTAGCTGCACTCTGAGCATGCAAAGAGAGACATACAGGCACCCCACAGGGGCAAAAAGTGCTATGATGAATGTAAAACATGCATTTGAGAGCCAATGTGTTACCAACACTATTAACAAAGGCATTTTTCATTTAAAGGTTACCCATAGGGCATTTTATATAAGGTTATGAAAGTTCATAATAACATTTTTCAAAGTATCCTGTGGCCCCAATATTTTCTCACCTCATAAATATCTGACTTGATCAAACTTTTGTAAGCATTCTTGGCAGATATAGTTAAAATGTGATTTTTAAAATGTATTTTTAAAACATTTTTAAGCATTCTACTACAAAAAAATTCCGTTCAGCAATAAAGTGCTAATGAATTTCAACATCTGATGTACAATATAGCTTGTAATCAAGTAATTCGAATAATTAAATAATTATGTAATTTGATCAAATAAAGCAATTAAAGCAATTAAATAATTTGGTTGAAAAACACAAAAACCTGCTTAAAGACTTTAGTAACCTAAATCAAATTTATATATAAATTATACATTCACATTTATAAATATGCATGCATATAATAATTTCATTTATATTTATAAAATCTAAATGATACATATGTGATGTTTGGAAGCATATATATATATATATACACACATACACATGTATATGTATACATACATATGTGCATATATGTATATATTATTAAAAACTGATAGTTTTTTTTCTTCATTTTAGTATTCGAATTTCACACAAAATTCATTTTAAATACATCAAGCATATATTAAGAAACACATTAAAACAGATTATATACATGCAACTCTTTCTATTGACTTATGAAGTCTTTGCACAAAAGCCATCATTTTAAAATTACCCTGTATGACTGAAGAGATCAGACACTTAGCCTAATGTAGAAAATCAAACCGCTGATAAATGAAAAAGCACAGTAAAGATCAGCTTAAGTAACACCTCATCTTGGAAGTCTGGTCTGAGTTCTCCAGGCAAACTTAATTAAATATAATTCTTTTTGAAAAACTGAGATAGTTTTAAAGGAAGAATCTTTAGCATTAATTACCTAGATTCTAATCTATTCTAATGATGAATAACTTTAGTTTACTGCTTTAGATTACTTATGAGATGTTAACTAACTTTTAAAAATCTTTTCCTGGTGAAACTGAAAACAATACACATTAATTTATAATTTTGTTTCTTAAACTTGTTTAAAAATGCCTATTCTGTAAACAGTATGACTTTCAGAGATGGTACTTAAAAGCAAGAGTAACTGCTAACTTATAAAATCACTACCTACAAAAATTCAAACGAAATCAAGAAATCTCAGAGTTGGAAAGATAATATGAGAGTTATTTGAAAAAGTAAATAGATTTTGACTTAAGCACTTTTCAGTAAGAGTATCATTAATTCTAACTAATACAACTTTATAAAGTAATATATAACCACACATGCATTCTGAATAGTCACCAAAATATAATATATTCTTCTAGTTACTGGTGGGATTTAGTGCCTGACCTCCCCCAACAGGTTCACTTCGTGAAAACACAACAAACTGCCCCCAAAAAGTCACAGAAACACAGAGTACGGACTTCTCCTATCTATCAAAATAAGCATTCATTTGAGTTATATGTCTGGCTTATGTTGCAACAAAATTTAAGTGATTTAAAGATCACAATAAAATATTTTCTGAACAATAGAGTAATTAATACAGCTTTTTAGAGATGGCTTCAAAATGCATTGCCCCTCTCCACTCCAGGGATTTATCTAACCTAAATGTTTCATAATTTTTATTTTTCTCTTTAATTGACTTTTGTAATTATTAGATTATAAAGAGTTTTTGTAATATCCACTAGCAGAGGGAGTAAAAATAGGAAACTTAAGCTCACACAATTAGCTTATTTCAGAATAATGTTCTTATTTTAAATAGTGCACATAATTACCACAATTTTTACTTTGCTTTCAATGTTTGGAAAATCAAAATTTAACTTTCTTAAAGAAAAATATTTAAGCCATATCCACAGATATATATTTTAGAGCCAACAGAAATATTTAAAGTATTAAATGCTATTTTTCCCATGGCATTTGTCAACCAGTGTCACTTTGACATCAGCATGTATGCCTTTAATGCCAAACAATTAAAGACTTTCATCTTTTCATATGAGCGAAGTTCAGATTTTCTCCCAGAATAAACAGTCAACTATGCCACGAAGTACTCGAATAATCATCAGAGAAGAAAATCTTTTATCTCTGGTTTCCAAATTTTGACAAACTGTTTTGTCACATTCACGCATTAGTCTGTGCTGCTCTGGCTCCATGACCATGATGAAACCTCACAGATTTTAAAATTGCTCTAAGCTCACAGATAAAAGCAAACTCGAAGCTGTTGGATATTTGTTGAAGCACTGACCAATCTATAGCACAGGCCCTGAAGAAACACAGTCATTAACACCCTGGCTGTGTCCTCTCTCCCAGGGCACTGTCTTGTATTGATTACCACTGTTACCACATCATCCTACAGATTTCTCATGTAAACGGGCAAATGGATAAACAGGAGGCCATACCAGAAGGGGCTCATCAGGGGCACTGGTGGAAAGCTCGGCAGATGCTGTGCGGACAGTGCTGAGCCCAGTAAGGGAAACATTTGAGAGCCTTCTCCGTCTCACGCCACTGCAATTGTTGGGGATTTTAAATGCACATCTCTTGTGGTAATTCAGCCCACATCCTGGAAGGAGAAAGTAAAAATGACTTTTGTTCAACTATAAATTAAAAGCTACTTTAGTATAAGTTGTAAATTATGAATTTTTAGAAACAGTACTGCTTCCATTTTTCCTGAGGCTGTACGAAAATTTAAATTTTCTTTTGAGCTTCTCCTGATTTATTTTCCCAATTTGTCAATAAGCTGGGTTTTGACATCTGATTTTATTGGATGAGCCCAGCAACTACCCTGGTTATCATTTAAAAAAAATGTTTTCTAACATAAGGGACTTGGGCTTTGAGGGATCTAGCAATAAAACTCCAGTGAGATGACCTATTTTTAGCTGCCTCAAGTTCTATTGCAAGGGAAAATTAATCATAATGCTTCACAACTTTTGACTTGCACTGATTTGAATCATGGCTCCACAACTTGTTTGTCTATATGGCCTTGGACAAATTACTTCACCTCAGCTTTCCTGTCTGTAAAATGAGGATAATAACTACCTTGCAGAATTGTTGAGAAAATATGTAAAATACTTCGCATGCTAGTTTCTACATGGTAGATAATTAGGAAAGCACCATTTTCCTCTCAATATTTCTACTGTTCATAGTTCTATCATGTAGTCTTACTGTTCAGAACTTCCCCATGTGTCACATAGCAGGCCAGACAAATTTTCACAAAACTACACTTTAGGTAGACTTTCTTCCAGATCACTGTCTCTTAACTTCCCTTCTTACAGACAGAAATTCAGAAATTATGGTTATTTTATTTATGGATTTCATCATAAAAGCTTGGGGTTTTTGGTCAAAGTTCAAACAGCTCTATCCCTCCCCGCCCCACCCTTCATCAAAAAGGAGCAAGGTACGATTTGGTCCGTTTTTAAGATTATATCATGGTATCCTATAAAACTGAATTATGCACTTCAAGGATTTCTGTCCATGGAGGATGATAAAACTATGATCTTGGTGTAGAAACTGGGTACACGTTCCAGCCTGCCACTCAACAGCTGAGTGACCTTGGATGGTTTGATTAACCTCCTGAATCTCAGCTCCTTTCAGCAAACATTTATTGAATGCCTACTACTCCAAGTTCTGGCTTAAGATGCAAATTATATGTTTAGGCTGTTAGCAAAATAAAAACACCTTATGGGAGAGAAACATATCCACATGATATAGGGGAAAAGATAGGAGAATCTGGCTTCCCAGATCAGGGCTAACGTGTTGAAGATAGGAAATGAACCGAACAGAATCCATGCAGTACCCAGATCCCTGGAAGGTATCTGAAGGAAAGAAGGCATTGCAGAAGAGGGCACGACATAAGTAGCTAACTCCAGCATGCGTTCCACTTGGCTGGGGAAGGAATACCTTACCTTCACATTTAAGGCCTTGACGCACCAGCCCCCATAGCATTTCTCCACAGTGATCACAGAAAGCTGGAGCTCTGTACGAATGAACAAAGAGAGTGTGGGGACGAATCTGAAAGTCTTCAAAGGTGGCGGAAGCTGTGAAAATAATAACATTGAAAAAAAAGTTGAATAAATACGCTCATCTGTAGATCATTAGTATGCAAGATACTTAACATGCAAGTATGGGTATAACTGGGCAAAGTCAGGAAAGATAAGATGCAACACTGCTTGACTTTTAGCCATTCCACTCCATTCTTCTCAACCACAGCTTTACAAGTGGTGGCAAAGGAACCTCTTTCTTGTCTTCCTGCTTATCAAGGTCTCAGGCCACTTCAAAAATAGCCAAAATGCTAGAACAAAGAATGAATGAAAGAATAACTCAATTCAATCTATAAATATGGGATGTTGCTTTAAAACACTTTGCTTTTTCTCTTACGTAAATGAGCCAGAGAGGTATTCAGAAATATTAATGGAAAGGAAAAACTTGATGAATGGAATTTAGACAGATCAGAAGACAGTGTATTTGACTATGACCTTGAAGAAGTACATTAGAAGGGTGGGGCCCAACTGGAAGAAATCTGGGCAGCCTCTTTTGGGGAGATACAGTTGTTTGAACTCTTAGGCAATATAACCAAGCATTTAAATCCTGACCTAAAAATAACAAGCAGCCTCTTCATCAATATGCCAAACAGAGGGATTTAATACACACACTGGTGAATTTCAGCCCACTCTGATAAATATACTTTAGCAAATCATATTCATGCTATAGGGTACTTTTTGTTATTGCTTATTGTTATTTATCCCATATGGTATTCGTACAGAGTATTGAAATTCATTATGTTTTAAAAATTATACTTTTCCACATGATATTTTTATTATGTTATAAAAATAGTTCACGGTTTTTTGGTGTTGCTTAAATCAAGAAACAGAAAGGTACAGAGAAATGAAAGTGAAAGACCACCCCTTTTCCCAAAATTCTAGTGTGTAGGGCTATATCTTTCTGGATCTATTTACACATATAGCCCGATATTAAGGCTGCCCGTAATAGTCCAGGGAGTGCTGACATACGAGTGAGAAGAGCTGGATGAGGCTTTGCCATTACCTTACTGACAACTCACTTAATCATCATGAGCCTCAGTTTCCCACACATAAAAAGAGAAGGCCTGACCAATGGTGACTTCTAACCCTTAAAGTGTAAACTTCCATTCACTTAGAATAGAACCATATGCACTTGATTTCATAAGGTTTTATGCAAAGAGAATTTGGGGAAAAATTTAGGCCTTAAATACATCCTTCTATTCTGCCTTCCCTTCTCTTCCTCCTGTTTGTCTTCTTGCCTTACTTTTTCAACACACATTTGTTAAACACCTTTTTCAATACTGTCAATGGCACCATTCCAGGGACAGAGATGTAAAGATAAGTAAGACGTCTTTACAGAGCCTACCAGACCAGCAGAGAGGCAGATAAAAACAAACAAAAAACTCCACAATAACTATAAAATAACTTCTAAGGTTCAAAGGAGCTACAAAATTTGGCCTAAGTTACTAAACAGAACTAAGACTACAACCCACAAGTGTTTTGTCCCCAATCCACTGTCCTTTTCATCATACCAGTGTTACATCTTACCTTTCCTAACTCTGCCCAAAGAGTTATATACAACAGCCCCATGGTGAGGGAAATAAACATCTGCAGTTTTCCTGATGGTGTCTTGGATAGCAGGTATGGGCTAACGAATCACCTGTGGAGTATACTTATGAAGTGCTTACCTTGGTAAGTATGCAAGGTGTGACAGAGTGAACGCTGAAACTGTAGGCGATTCATCTCTGCTAGATAGGTGTCCAAAATTATGAGGACAACTTTGAGGGTATCACATCCCTCAGGGCAAGTGACAACAGAACATGCAGGAAAGTGAATCACTTCAACCAGAAAGGATATTACTGATAGTTCACAGACGTATATCTGGACCATAAAAAGAGATTAAAATTTTTAATGGGTCAGTTTTCCCTTGAATAAAAGTACTTTATTCCAAATTAATATGCTTTACTATTGGAAATCATCCATCAACTTATTAAAGGTACTAGTTTTACTCAATGGAAAGATAATGAGAATAATAATAAGGTTAAGATTTATTGAGCTATTACTGTATACCAGACACTACACTAAGAGATTAAAGTGTGGGAAGAAGGAGCTAATCAAAGAAGTGCTGCCAAGTAAGTCGCTCTAGCATTGCCTACAAGGAGTTCTGATTAGTGTCAAGGTTCCCTACAAAGAAGATTTCAATTGAAATAAGATTGGGAAATTGTATTATTATGTTTCTCACTTCAAGTTTCACAATATTACAGTCAATGCTTATTCTAAGTAAATCAGTAAAAAAGTATGGTTTGGGTTCCAATCAACTACTTTTATAATTTGGTCAAAGTGTGTCTAATTTTGTAAATGCTAAATCTTTAAAATTGGTCTCTCACAGTCATGGACAAATTTGTTGTTAAAACATCAAAGAAAATAGTTAAAGAAAATACTTTGTGCCAACCATTAACTCCTAACTTCTACCCTGCCTCTCCCCCCATCTCCCACCCCGGCCAAATGTCACCCAAACAATGGTGACAATACCATGATAGCAATTAGTTGAATAATTAAGGTAGTTTTCAAAATAAGGAATGTTAGAATCTGGCAATACTAACACCTATATGTGTTCAGATATTTTTTGAATTATTCAGAAAGAATATAAATAATTAAAAAGAAGATTTTCAATGACCCCCCACCCCAAATCCAGTTTATGTCAGGTACGTTTGTTTTTTCACTTTTTGAAGGGGATTAACATTCATAAGCAGTTAGCACCCTTGACTTATGTTTAAATGCCATTTTCTAAAGTTCAATTTTAATATTCTCCTGTTAATTTTAGAATAATTAAATACATTTTTTAAAATAAAACTACCAAGTGTGGTGAGGTTTCACATGCATTTGAAATCAAAGCACAACATCCATTCATTATGAATTTACCTGTTTCTGCGCCCTGGGGGAAATCAGCATTAGCTGAGTGTATGCATGCCATCTTGCCTAATCACAAAATTGCACTTCAGAGATAATCACTTAGCACAGGAAAACAAAGTGAATGCTGTAATTCCATTTCACTTAAGGTTTGGAAGCAAAATGGACAGATATGAATAGAAATACTAAAGTGTCTAGAGATTCCAAGAGAGAACAATGTGCTATCTGTCAGTATGTCATAATCAATCAGGTGACCTAAATTAAAACCATATGACAGGGCTAAAAAGTAAACACAATGGGCCCCTTATACTGGTACCTGTGTATCTTTGATTTGCTTTGTTCACAGTCTATTGTTATACTCCATGGTGCAGGAGAGGAGAAAATAACATGCTTTCCTTAGTCAATGAGCATTTAAAACAGGTAATTGAGCCAAAAACTCTAAGATAATCAGTACTTCTTTTAAGGTTCATGATAAATTGTTGCACAAAATGGAATAAACTGTTTGGTTAGCAGTACAGAAGAAATCAGGCTTCCAAAGCAAAATAAATAATCTCTGGATGTCAAAGATATTTGCATAATAAAATCAAATAATGTCCTATCTTCCAAGATTTTTAGTAATTTATTTTTACTGGTAATTTTGGCAATTTGGGAGAAGTGTTAACTCTTTCTGGCATTGCCAAGTTGGAACAGGTATAAGAAGAAGAAAAGCTTAACACATTTCAAGTATCATCTCATTCAATTTTTCACAAGGACTCTATGAAGTAGATACCATTATCCCCACTTTATAGATGAGAAAACTGTCTCAGAAAAATTACGGAGCTGCCCTAGGTAACACAGGATCTTGATTCAGACAGCCTGACAGCTGAACCATACAAATTCTCTCAGTGACTCTGAATCTAATCATCATATTCTCTGACCATCAAAATTCTATGGATTATAAAGCTGCATCTTTATTTTATGAATTACTAGCAAAGACTTAAAAAACGCTGCAATTAAATACAACACACCACTATTGTAAGGTGCATCCTTATCTCACAGATGCAAAAAATACTGAGGAAAAAATGTCCATGAAATAATGTATAAAATGAAATTAATTCAGTTCATAATCAAAAATTCTTTTAACATGCTTTCTGCATATACTCCATTTTTTGAAATCCTTCTCCCTCCAAACAAATTGGAGTTAGTAACAATAACTGGTTTTAAAATTTTTACAAAAATCAAAGGTAATGATAACTAACACCCAATTCGAGTTTTGTGTCTACATGATAACCAGTGTCATTCAATTGATAAGTCTGGCCCAAAGCAAAACATTATGAAGCTTTTAAAAATTGTCAAGATTTGTTTTTTTCTTAACCTCTGGAATATTGAAAATAGCTTCTGAATATCACTCTCCCCACATAAATACAAATACTCATCAGTTTTAAGGTATTCTGTGGATAAGAAACCATATCCACTTTAACATCCTATCATTCATCCATACACACACATAAAAGATACACATAAATAATCCTCTGTTCCGTGACAGCTTTCATTAGTGGAATGATAACTATTCACAAATCAGTTTACTGTATTCGTAAATATCTCAAATTATTAGAAATATTTTTTTATATTGAGTCCCAAACACTACTCTGTAATTTCTATTTGGAGGTGATAGTTCTAAAAGCAAGCATTTAAATTAAGACATTTTTGTGTCTTTCTTAAATCAGCTCATGTAAGTCAAGCAGGCCTAATACCTTCAAGCATATAGTTGATTAATATTATGTTTTACTAATATATTTAGAACCTACCATATAGTAATATATATGTATTGCAACATAGTATATATTAGAAATAGAAAAATAACAAGGAATAGTATCTGTTGTTGAGGGTTCAAAGTCAAAATGAAGATGAGAGACCCATAAATAATCATAATACAAGATGCAGGGATGGAAACACAAAAGAAAGGGCTACTGATACTGCCTGGGTCTATCAGGGAAAGCTTCATCAAGGAGGGATCACTGAACAGAATCTTGAAGGATGAAGAGTGTTTTGAAAAGCAAAGAATAGGATAAAGGAAAGAGGAAACATTTTGTACAGCCTGATTTTATTTAATTATAGAAAATTTGTAA